CAACTGAAAACACCAATAACCATTTGTCCTTTTCAAGGGAAAGATGTCTTTTCAGTCCGAGTCAGGAAATATGCATGTCATTTTATGCAATGTATCCATCAGTATTTATCACTGACTCATGTTTACAACAAACCTAATGAGTAAATGCTTTCCCATTTATATATATTTTTATTATAAGATCTTACACTCTTTTTTTCATAAAAATCTGATTGTAAAACACTTTTCATTTACCAAAATCTAGTATGGTGATTATCTTTTAAGGATGTTATTACATCTTGATTTTGTTATCTTGAGATAACTGAATTTATTATCACTCATCTTGCAGTATGACTCTTTATGAGGTGCTTATCTGTTTTTTGTCAATAAAATGTCAAAGGTACATAAATACAATGATATCACCCAAATAAAAGTAAGGTCTTTTTTATAGTACATGTTTTATTTTGAATAATGTGCATATTATACAGATGATCACTGTCCTTGTGTATGTGAGTGAAACAAATTAAGAAATTCAACAACAGTACAGCATACAATTTTTCCACATCCTACTATTGTAAACTGCTTTAGCTAAAATGAAAGCCATAAGTAAAGTGGAAGATTTGACAGTATCTGTCAAAAATATCCCCTCTTCCTATAAAACTGATAGAAGTACATCTCAGGCTACTTAAAGTTAGAAATGCAAGCCATTTTCATAATAATTAAATACTAACAATATACAAAAGGGAGTAAAAAAAAAAACATAAATAATATACTTCCAGTGAATGTATTACATAAGCAACTTATATTTACCCTACAGTAATATGAGAACAATCTGTCATATATTTTAAAGCTTTAAGCTATCCTCAAGATGAATGGAATCATACAGCAACTTTTTTCTTAGGTTTGATAAGATGGTGATAGTTGGGAAGGATCTTCATCAGGAAATCAAGTTGAAGACCCTGAGGCTGAAAGGCAAAAGCAGAAATATTTCAATGATCTGTGGAATAATGCCATTATAAAAAAAAGAGAGGAATACCAAATCTTTATATACATATAATAATTTCTATTCACTCTTCATATGTCCCAATTTTTAAAATAATGTCCAAAGTTTTCAATTCAGATACAATGAGAGCTTAAATCCAAGACTTACTGCTGGTTTTTCTGACTGGTTTCGTCTATGCAGCTCATCACCATAAATCACTGTATTCTCAGAAACAACCTGCGGGCATGTGATTGAACACAGAGATCCTATGACGCATCCTCGTGTCAGCTCTACTCCTGGGCCAACGTGACCTTTAACAAGATTAAAAAAAAATCTTTAAATATTTTCTCCAATATCTTGTAATTTAATTACAGTCAGAATCCATGTAATTTTTTATAATCAGTAAATAAAAAATCCAATTTCCACTGGTTAGAAAATAAAAATGTGTAAAGCTTAGTTCAGTGGTAGACTGCTGGCTTTGCAATTACAAGCTTCCAGTTTAATGCCCAGCCTGCCTCTCTCAGCTGATGGGGACAGAAGAAAGCCAGCCATAGACATGTTTCAGATGTCCACTCAGATGTAGTGCCAGATATGACTTTTTTTCTACCAATATACTCCCTGAACCCTAAGCAAAATCATCTGATAGAAGTGATAATCAAAAAGAAAATCTTATCAGAATTGTTTACTTGTGTATAGTGGTAAAGTAGGTTAAATGCTGCCCTACTATCTCAAAAAAAAATTTCCCTTAACCCATTCGCGCCGGGCGTTACGTATACGTGACGGGCCCACTGTGAGTTTACTTGTTTGATTGTTTACAAACATAGATGGCTCCACTTGCACTTGTACTGCCTGTCTCGTCTGTTTACCCTTTTCTTTAATTTACGAAATTATTTTGCGTTATCTTATTTTCCTGTTACTAATGTTTATAACATTAGAGTAATTATAATGTTTATAATAAAAATAACCATCGATATTCATTGCACTAGTAAAAATACATTTTCCCGCCAAATGAAATCCGGTAAAGCAGAGCCATCTAGTGTAGAGAAATTTCATTAAAAAATATAAAAAATGAACACAGCATTTCCCCCATTTTTTGTTCATTTTTACCCGGCGCGAATGGGTTAACAATTAACAGGAAAAAGAGAAAGTGATTTATTTAAGCCCATCTTTAACTGCAAAATACAGCTTATCTACAACCAATCCAAACATGGAAGAAAATATTAAATACTTACTCTTAGCTTCTAAAACATTGTTGTCTCCAACTTTAGTTGCCTGGCAATAGCTATCGACCTCAAATACATTACTGTTGCCAATGACCATAACCTGTGGTTCTTCTCCAGGTTCAGTACCCTCAGGTAACCTGAAGTGAAAAAAAAAAATTCAAACATTATAGGTGTGGTACAACACCATACATTGGAAAATTCCTAAATGTAAAGTTAACTCTAATGTAGTTATGTTTCTACCATGTAAAGAAACCAGACATAAGCAAATAGTAAAATTAAAGCAGGTGAGGAATGTGCAGATCATATATTACATTGTAGAGTAAAATATATCACCATTAAATAAAAGATCTTCCATGTTCAACACTAACCTGTTGATTATTTGGGCTTGCTCCTCTATTAAGTTGCCTTCACCAATGATAATAGGTCCAGCTTCAGCTATAATACGTGCCTTTGGATGGATGACAGTGCGAGCCCCTATGGTTATTTCTCCCTGGTAGTCCGCCTCAAGACACACTACAGCTCCTGGTGTCACCTTGACACTGTGGAATGATTAGGAAATCAGTGATTTGCTGCAGAAAACAGAAAAACTGGGACTTTTCATCTGAAATCATTCCAAAGATCATTATATTTCACAGGATACAATTTTTTTTTTTCTGTAAGTCCAAGATCATTTTGTATGAGACCATTACAAGAAATACACATTACACTCTCATGGTTCAAGCATTTCTTTCTTTCATCTAACTCACATTATGAGTCAAAATGGACATTTACATTATTTTAATTTGATAAATCTTAAAATCAAAGTTCCAATGCATGTGCTGTCACACCAATATGAATTGAATGCATATATGAGTACATACACAAGTCAATTTGTCTCTTGTGGTGTGCTTAAAAAAGATCTAATTAGGCTTTATCCTCCCACAAATGGTACCAGCCCCATGAAAATATTGACGAGGCTTGCAACACTACAAGCTGGTATATAACAAAATGCAATAAAATACACATAGAACATTTTAAATACTTTGCATCTTTTAAAACAATGTCTACTTCTTTAAATTGATATAAAATCTAACACTAAGAGACCAAAAATGTGTTCAACAAATTTATCATGGTAAAAGAATTTGTTTTTGTATATTTTAGAATATATTAAAATCTTCCTGAAACAAAAAGATTTGAATTCTAAAAAGTCCTATACAGAAACATACAATTACATATTGTATGTATTCTTTAAGGAAATTATTTAGAAAAAGGCAAATGTACTAAATATAATCATGGTACCAAATACTACAAAATTGGGTACTACTGGACTCCTATGACCCTCTAGTATTCATAAATACAGGTATTAATGTCCAGAAAACCCCCTATACCCCACAATCTGAGTTCTGATTGTAGGAGCTGTGTTTCCATTAATGGGAAAATTGCTATGACCATCTTCTACATAAAAATGGCTGGATGAAGCATTGGACAGATGACAGAGAGGGATACACAACAATTTGTTTGAGTTCCACACTGCTGTCTGCCCACGAAGGATATTTGTTTTCTAGGGCTGTAGCCCAATACAGGTGGCTTACATGATTAAAGTCCTTTCTTGCAAATTATAAATAGACAATCTATGCATACTATACACCACACAGTCCCAGGAAAGAATAAATGGTAACTCAATGAGGTCTACGAAATAGACTACTTTTCTCTTCCTTATTCTAAGCTAGAACTTAATACTGATGTTGGCATATATTATGTATTTCTGAAACATATACAGAGGATTCTCTAACATATTTACTGAATTTTGCTTCATTCTGCACCAATTCATCATTCATTTCTAACTGAATGTTGTCGTGGAAATGTAATATTCATTGTGATTTTGTTTTGTGAAATCTCTCTCCACACAGATGGCTCCATAAGTGCTCAGCCACCAAGGAGATCTACATAACCTTACCTGATTTCCTTTTTCTTTGAGTTTTTGGGATATCTACTTTTTTAATACTAGTAACATTGATGCTGATAATATCATTACTGACACTATAATTATTATAATTCTATTACCAATATTAATAGGAATACAGATGCAATTTTTTTTCTTCAAAAAAAACTGAAATAGGATAAACAAGTAAGATAAGTAAGACTAATAACTGACTCTCTGGTGACTAAGCACTAGAAGAGCCAGCTATATGACTTGTAGAGCCATCTATGTGCATACACAATTAATTAGTATGTACAAGCCATATCCATCACCACTGGGTTAAGAGAAATTGATTAAACTGGAGTATTGAAGAAGCCAGAGTGAAAGGACATTCTCTCTTCCTTGTAATTGGATACAGTAGACTACTTTACTTCATTTCCTGTAATTTCCATTATATTTCAGGTCTTCCCCTTCTATGTGAACCCACTCTGATAGGTATAGGGGGGGGGGGGTCTACGTATCAGTACAGAAGGGCATGAGAGGAATCCAGAAGTATCAATAACCTACATCTTATTGGTTCGATATGTATTAACCCGGCTTGAGATACATCAAAATACTGAATACCCAAGAACTAAAGAGTAATAAATAGATTAGCATAAGTATAGGAAATTATATCAACATGTCATTTTTTTTCTGCAGATCGTTTTTCGCTGCCTACGAACACCACACCCACTTCCTCTGGCCGACTGTAATTTCTGCGACACAATAAGACCATATACGCGTATGTAATCATTCTTCATTTACAAACACCTCTCCCTACTCATTCTACTCCATAAAATCTCAATTGCATTTGTAAGATTGTGAGTCATACTTGCAGACTGCTGGATCAAGCTGCTTCAGGGACGACATTGTTGACAGATTTTACGTCGCTAGATCGAGGTTGGGTAAAAGAGCTTTTAGAGACTAAGAGTATTAAATGATACACAATTTTTCTCCAATATATACAAACATATAATTAATATTTATATGTAAATACTAATCATGCTTTATTTAGCTTAATAAGAGAAATTAAAATTTAAAAAACTCTAATACACCATATATATCTAGCACGTTCTTTGCAAGTTTGTGGCGTTTTCATAATAAACTGCGATGGTATCCGCACTCTTATGGTTAGAAGAACGCCGGAGAAACCACTGAGAAAGGAAGCAGGGAGTCTATTATTCTAAACGAAAGAGGAAATAATGTGATATATATATATATATATATATATATATATATATATATATACACACACACACACACACACACACACACACACACACACACACACACACACACACACACACACACACACACACACACACACACACACACACACACACACACACACACACACACACAAACACACACATATACATACATATATGTATATGTATATATACATATATGGGTGTCGGTGTAGGTTTTACCTGCAAAAGGAAGTGTGAGGCGCTCCTTCCGTCCGACAGTCTTATGGATCATCTTCGGGCAAGATGTAGTACCCATTTAGCCTCCCGATCAGGGTTACGTGAAGCTATGACTTGCAGGTGGTGGATGGTCGCTGAAAACAATCTTCAAATAATGAACCTAATGGTTTCAGCGATCGGAATGCTGGGCAGACGAACTTCTGTTAGAAGTCAATGGCTAGGATTATGGTCTACGAAGTTAGATACTGCAGCTGAAGAAGGCAACGGGAAACCACTTCAGTATTCTCCCTAGTTTAACTATGACAGATGAATCTCAACAGGAAAAATCATAACGGCGTGAATGGGACCGTCACGTATCGTGATGGTGTCTCGCCGGGTAGGAAAGCTTACGAGCATCAAGTAACTTCCGACCGTCATCAAGCTACTACTGCAAAAACAACTCAAAAACCTTCAATTGATCTGAATTTAAAGATTGGTACATGGAATGTAAGAACGCTTTTTACATCTGGTCAGCTTGCAAATATAAAATTGGAAATGGACAGATTGAACACTGATATACTTGGAATTTGCGAAACAAGATGGATTGGAAACAGATAGTTATTCTCAGACAGCTATGTAATATTTTACTCAGGTGGCGAAGAACATGCAAGAGGAGTGGCAATAGCAATAAAGAAAGAATTGACAAAATTTATACTCGGATGCTGGACTCTCTCCGATAGAGTAATGGTGCTAAAGCTCAAAGGCAAGAAATTTGATGTCAACATTATTCAAGCTTATGCACCAACTTCTATGTCAACTGAAAAAGAAATAGCCACCTTTTATGAACAACTAGACATGGTATACAAGACTTGTTAAAGTCAAGAAATAGAAATTTTAATGGGGACTTCAATGCAAAAGTTGGTAGGGGTAAACACGAAACAGTTGCGGGTCCTTTTGAACTCGGAAAAAGAAACGATCGGAGAGATACTTTTATTCAATGGTGCGAGGAAAAAGACTTAGCCATAATGAACACTTGGTTTCAACACCACAATAGACGATTATACACTTGGAAAAGTCCTGGTGATCAACACAGAAACCAGATCGACTATATCTGTATAAACCAAAGATTTAGAAATGGTATAAAGCAGTACAAAACCATCCCTAGCGCTGACTGCAAGAGCGGCCATATTCTCTTAGTTGCCAAGATGGTCGTTCGACTGAAAAAGATCAAAACTATAGGAAAGGAACCGAAGTTTGATTTCAATTTATTAAAAACCAACAACAACATTGCAAATCAATTCAAGATAGAAGTCACAAATAGATACAACGAACTAACAATAGAAAAAAGTCACAATGAAAACCCATGTGAAAAAAGGAACCAACTGGAAGAAATACAGAGACCGCAAGTATGGTTTTACCAAAAAGAGATAAACAAGCAAAACAGCCATGGATGACAACATAAATACTAAATCTAATGAAACAAAGACGGAAGTATAAAAACAGAAACAGCAGTAAAGAGTACATGGAAATTCATAAACTTATCAAACAGAAATGTGCTAAAGGAAAAGAAGAATTTTAAACAAACAATGTGAGGAATTAGAAGATCTGGCAAATAAAAATCAACAACTATTGTACAATAAAATCAAAACTATGGCAAAGGCAAAGATGAAAACTGCAAAAACTGCACTGAAAAAAAAGACGGAGATGTAATATTTGAGAAAAAAACAAGTCCTAGACAGATGGGTAGAATACATTGGAGAGTTATTTAATGATAGTAGACCTGAAGTAACACCAGAAATATCCACAACAGAATTAACAGGAACAATTATATTAAAATCAGAAATTGAATCAGCTATCAAATCATTGCGAAATGGTAAAGCTACAGGGAATGATAAAATTTCTAAGGAAATTATTGAAGCTTGTGAAGATCTTGGGACAGAAAAGATTTTAGACTTGGCAAATAGTATATATAAC